CCTTGGGTTTGTCTCGATCTTATAAGTCGCTGATTCATCCAAGCAATAGTGAAGTGGTAGGAGGACATATTTCAGCTCGTTTCATCGAAGAGAAGAGGAGAAAAATGTGAAGTTTTTCTCAATCCGTCCCTCTTTCCCATTGAACACAGAAGACCGATTGTCAACACCATGGTTCCTTAACACAGACTTTTGAAAGACACAGCTTCGACTGATATTGTGGCCCAGAATCGCTAGTTTCAAATATCACACAAGACAGTGCCAGGACGAGAAGACTTGTCTACTAAGAACAACGATAATGGTATCGATAAATTGGTATACATACAACAAAATGTCTCATTTGGAACTGGTCATCATAATCCCCACAAGCACGTAAGATAATTAAAGAGAACCGTCCGATGGTAGATGCGCACTTTTTATTTTCTATTTTGAACACGGTAGTTCGCTATTGGGTGGGTATTGTTCATTTTGACCATTTTGAGAAACAGACAATCATATTTTTTGTGCAATCCAAGTATGCTACTCATAAATGTGAGTACTAACATACAGCACGAAGTATACAATAACCCTCTTTCTTTTTCTGTTTGCTTCCTTTTATTGAATGTATATTTACGTATGTTGATACAATCAACCCTAAGCACGAGGAAAGCGGACCAGTAATGGTCTTTCTCTAATGCTCCCAGGTCTACCTTTTGCAAATATCACTTTTTCTCAAATTGACAATCAATGCCCAATGAATGCCGTCACATACGGAACAAATGAAATTCAAACCGAAAGGCAGATACAGCTGTTCTGACTTGACCAGTCAATCTGTCGATTCAACTTCGGGTTGTGCTCCGGACCTCACCGTTCGAACCACTGATCTAATTGACCGGCTGCAGATCAGACCGTCACGTTTGCTCCACACTTTGCAAACGTTTTAGAGAATGCAAACGGGCTCATCTCGTCCCTTGTGTCAAATTGCTGGGATAGTTGAACGACTGTGTGAAAAAAAGTTGTATATCCGAGTAACTGGCGATCTTCTAGTTTCATGGAAGACTGTCGATCAAAACCCTTCACTGATTTTGACGCATGTGTGCACGTCATGTGATGGGAAACAAGTGTGAGACAGGAACACGCTATTTTTGGCGATTCTGTTTAGTTCAGATTGTTTGAATTGGTACGATCTCATGAAGCATCGCATCCTTCCAATGCTGTCTGCGTCATAACACTCCCTCGCTTTCGCTCCCTTCCTCCTCCGCCGTCCCAAAGGCTGCGTTTCACAAGTTCAGTAACCGAGGCTATCGTTCCGTGGCCCAGTGTGATACACTTCAGTTGTGCGACTACGATTCCGTGGAGGTCGCTCTCTATCAGATGAACACATCTGATCAGCCTCTGTCCATGTAAAGTGTCCCGTATACTATCCCAAGTCCCCGAACAAATATCTCAGACAGTACGGTGATGATCGTCACTGAGCTGCTTGTGTCTATTGGCCTCGACTGGGAAAGACCGGTGCACGCAAAGGATCGTTCAACATACTCAATCTCTGTCCTTCACTCGCTCGTTCGTACGCATGCATCACACATACATACACGCACACACACACACACACACGCAAGCACGTGTCCACAATTGGCTTTAATTTTTGCAAAGCCAAAACTTTCTTCTCCTTCCCTTTTGAATTATATCACCATACCCATTTTTATAATATAATCTCACGGTTTTCTTTGACAAACAAGTTGGCTATTCTGATCGTCCAGCCGTGAATGCAGTTTCTTCGAATGCGGAGTTGCTTGCGATGAACTGTGAGATCAGGCTAGATTGCAAACCTGCTCGATCTCACAACAAAACTTAGAAAGTTCTGTGGTGGTGGTGGTGGTGGTGGTGGTGGGTCCAAGGAGCAGTTTGCGTTGCCCATCTCACTGTTGGTTAGTCAGACTATTGATAATTGACGACTACTGTATTACCGTCACAGTCTCCGGGCCGATCTTTATCGAGCTCTGATACACACTCTCTTCAAAGGACTATGAACTTGATCCAGACAAAGGATCATGTACGCGTTTTCCATTGTATTATTGCATTGAAGTTTTAGCGAGTTATATACAAGCCTTCGGCTAAAAAGAGACCTCCGTCACAGTACTGGCAAAGGAAAGGGAAGAGGTGGAGCATCGTGTGTGCGAAATGTTAGTTTAACTACTGAATGCCTTATGAAGCTGAGAACGAAACTTTTATTGTCCACCTTTGTTCGGACAAGCTAGTCTATCTAAGAGTTCCTCTGGGCATATGTCCGCGATGCGATGAGTTTCTATTTGGAAAGGCGGTGGAACGATGGGATTTGCATGAACACTGATCAGTGTGTCAAGGATAGGTGCAATCAGATAGAATATTTTCCACAAATCTTCAGGCACGTATCAGTGTGAACAACAAAGACATTGTCAATCAAAAAAGATAACAGAACTTGGGAGAAACGGCTGATCACTGAGAAAGCACGCTTCGGCAGCTTGAAATCAGCCTTCAACAAACTAGCGGAAAATCGTAGGGTAACAGTAAAGGGGTAAAGGGAGAACACATTGCTGAAAAAGGCATCTATCACTGACAAATCAGAACAGATGTAGTGCAGTCTTCTTGTCTGAAAAGAGAGAACTTTCAACTTGCGAGCAACAGTTTGGGTATGTAAGGATTAGCGAAGGCTAATTTCAATTGTGACATCTAAATACTTCACCTGGCTGGCCCTGCTCATCGGCTTTCCCTGAATCTGTGCATTGTCGGAGAGAGATGGGAAACGGTTTAAGTTAAAAAAATACATTTACGGCATTTTTCGGGATTAAGATTAAGATCGGATAAAGTAGAATGTGAAAATAGGTGAATTACGTTTGTGCCATATTTTACCAGTTCTGATTGATTAGATACGGAAACATAAATGGCGATGTCATCAACCTGCTTAAACTGTCGAAGGGGGGGGAGTAATGTGTAAGTCACTGATATAGACCGCAAAAACATAGATAGATATGACAACCTTCAAAAACACTGAAATTATTGAGTTATGCCGTTGACTATCTTCTTTCAAACTGAAAATATTGATCTCTTTGTGAAACCTTGTCACCAAGATGTTCAAGAAGAGAACTTGGACAACCAAATGATTGGAGCTTGTTAAGCAAAAGAGAACAGGGCACTGAGTCAAAAACTGAAGAATAGTCAGGAAATGCATAGTACACATTTTTAGTTTTCTCACTTAGGGACTTGCAGATGAAGTGAACTAGAGAAAAGATGGCCTCCTGATAAATATTATCGGGGCTGATGAAAGATAACTGAAGGCGTTGCAGAACTGACCGCTCCATCAACTTCAAACCGGTGGAAGTTAGAGCAGGTGGCCTAAAACGACTCGCAATTAGGGTCTTTGTCGTTCCTTTGGGGCGCCAGCATTCCAGAATGGTTCGGACTTCGAGTGAAAGATTGGCTTTATGTACAAAAAATGGGAGACAGACGCACATCACCGTGCTTAAGAAGTGTGATAGTGTGGTAATCTGTACTTGGTATCAGGAATCGAGTCGTAATAATCCGCGCAATTAAGCTCCAACCGAACTAGTACGCAGTATGGAATAGAACTCCAGAATATTCGAAGTCAGTTTTTTTGTATTACGCACCGAAATTGTACCAAGCAATCGATCATGTAATGGAACAAGAATGTTCAGTTTATACACAATCACCACATCCACCGCAGCTTGAATGAAGCTCGGGGTTGTTGTAATCACGTCTCTCTTTGAAACGCAAGCGTTCGGACCTTCGAGGATGTTCAACAGAATTCTCGGAAAGTTCATTTGAATGGTTTTCATCTGAAATAGACTCAGAAAGAGAAGGATTAGAACATTCAGAATTGGGAGTATTACAAATTATCTGGTCACTATGTCTGCGGTGGACTGACCCGTCATCTAAGTCAAGGAGTTGACTTTGACCAATCTGGTTCAACACCACTCCTGTTGAAGGACGTAGATCATTTCCACGATGATAAATCACTTCAGTTGATTCCAGATTGAGAAGATTGGTACGTAGTATACGATTTTTCGAATAATTTGGCCGGACTGCTCCCCGTAGCAGCAAGAGTTGAATTCCTGTACTGCATGAGGAAGTTACCAACACCCCCGTCTAAATCAGTGAAAGTAGAG